CCAATTAATTGGTTCCCAGCCCACCAAAATTACACCTAAATATGTTTTTTTTTTTAGCATTTAAACACAAAATGAACAGAATAAAACAAGAGCATTTTTTTCTTAATGGCTTCCAAAACGATAAAGATCTTATCCCAACATTACCCCTGTCCTGCCCCGATTGTCCGCTCCTTCCGTGTGCCACGCCCCCTCGTTAATCATCATCATCATAATCTATTATAGCGAGGGTCAAGCAATATAAGTAATGACACAAACCTGTAGCTTGCATGCTTGCTTATAAACTGTGATTTCCTTTCACGAGGTCGATAAAACATTATACCACCTTTTTTCACATTCCTCTGCTGGATGCCTTGTCCGAGGTGACGCAGCATTTACGGAGCTTGCAATAGCCTCCTAAGCTATTTTTTGTCAGTGCTTGTAACAGCTGGGCCAAACTATCCTTGCACTACCTCCTTACATTTAAGCGCCAACTGTGCCAGAAGAACTGTGTCGTTTGTCGTCCAGTTTGGTTTTCTTTTAGAATCCATTGTCTTGCTGTGATTTTGCGTTTGACCCATAATATATACAACATGTGCATCTATTAGTTGAAATTGATTGGTGATGTGCTAGGTAGATTTTAGTACAGCCAGTTAAAGGTATGATCACAGAAAGGTATGTTGTATAAGGCTCTACATTAATGGTTTAATGTCACTAATATATTCACTGAGCAGCTTCTCTATTGGTTGAACTAAGTATTTGGGGCGGGATTTTATTTGTAGTCCTCATTTCACATCACTTAAATGCTGGCTCTGTCAGCACTTAGGAATTGGGCTTAGACTTTGCTGAAAGTTACTTTTAACATCTTTATACAATGCTCTTAGGTCCTACTTTTTGCTAAGATTTTTTTAACTCTTAAGTCAAAGTGTACGACCATTCTTAAGAACATTCTTAGGAAGTTTTATGCATACCGGCCCTGATCTTTCGCTTACTAGCAATGTAAGAATTGTATGTGCCTAACAAATTACTGCACCTATTATTATTTGGAAGAGTATAGAATACATCAGTTTTATATATCGACGCCATCGACTACGCCGTCTAATCGCTGCAGCCCTAGTACTGTTTATATATAAACAAACTACACATAGCTATACTAAATAAAAAGACAAAAAAGCCAGACTGGCTCTCATCCTTACTTGCCTGTACCATTGGTCTCCATGACACCAAGAGCCAAACAGCCGTCGTTCCTCACTGGCACATCTGCCTCCTCCGCACCTTCCTCGGGTTTCTGAGTCCCAGCGGTTGAGTCCAGGGAGTCATGGAAGGACACTGAGCAATATGGACACATGGAAGGTCTCATTTGTGTTCAGTGTAAGAGTTATGACATTATCCTTTTACAAACAAATTGAATTGACATAAGGGAGTTAGTGTATGAAAACAGATCTTATAACATGAACATAATGTTCTCTCATTGTTTTTTTTACCTTTTGCAAGCATTCCAGGTCTACTGATTTTCTGCAAACACAATAGTGGTTAAGGGTTAGAATTTCAACTCTCAACATGAAACAGAAGCTGTCAAGGGGTATGCCAACACAAGTGGTGAAAAAAGAACTCAATTTAAGTAGTTAAGTGAAACTACAGATGGCGATTCAAAAAGGGATTAACAGTATATAAAATAAAAATTTTCCTCTGATCTTGTACACTTACATAGATAATTTGTATGTATCTTTATTTTAAATGTCAGTTAGTCAATTGATGAAAAGAACAACAAAATAAAGCAATATATCTTGTGTATATACTACTACTACTTAAGGGTGGGAACAACACAGAAGCGTACTAGCCATTGGTTGAAAAGACCAACAGCAATAGCTTGACGTATGTCAAATCAATTAGTGCGACATTTTATTGGCTGCTATTAGCACAGGCCATCGTGAAGTTCCAAGCTCATTATTGGAAGTGTGTTGAACATGTTTTCAGCTGCTCACTCGCTTAAACAAATGCTGCCGTGCCGGCCGCATGTGCACCGAAGGAAGACTGATAGGTGCAGTCCTGACTTTGATGCAAAAAATATAGCAAGATATTTGGAATGCATGATAGTGCTACAATTTTCATATGTAATTGGCCTAAATGCACATCAATATTACTTAGTTGTAAAGAAAAATATATATTGTTAGACTGAATTACTGATCAGGTTGTACACTGATCAACAGTGACATCTGTGTGGGCCTGGTCCCACCGGCCACGAAAGTAGAGACATCACTGATGTTTAGGGGTTACTGTATTTCCAGCACAAATGCATTGAGCAGCTAGCCATCACATGACCCTCACCTCAGTTGTATAGCATTTCGCACTAAGGCTACAAGAATTTTTGTGATATTTCAGGCTAGACCTATCTATGGAGGAGAATCAGATTGGTTTCATACTTCTTCCCGGCCAGATTAAATAACAGATTAAAAACATTTTGGAGGCACATACTTTTAGTAGTAGTATTACTACTACTAAACTTTTACAAAAATACAATTCCAATAAGATTAGATAGGCTATTTAGACTATTTAGCAAAACTGCCAACAAACCTCATCCTGTGCCTCTCTGCCACCCAGTTCATCTTCAAAATCCTCACTGTAGTTCAGAGTTGCTGGATAATAACAGACATGAGATTATAAAATGTGTAGAGCTTTTGGTAGATGACTGAGCTGTGAGCCAGCCCACTTTTAACACTCTTCCTGCTCATTAGTCTCCCGCCTGCTCTCTTACTCACCTGGCATGCATCTGGACTCACGACTTTCCTTTGACTCCAGCTCAGTCACTATCTTTTCTGCATTCCTGTAAATGTAATATTTTTAAACTGATATCTATGGGGCCTGACATAATAAACAAGAAATTCAGTTAAAAAAAAAGAAAAGAAAAAAAATATGGAATTCTTTTTCTTTTCATCTACCCTACTGTGCACATAAGAACTATACAAACGAGAGGAGGCCATTCGGCCCATCGAGCTCGCTTGGGGAGAACTTAACTAATAGCTCAGAGTTGTTAA